CCCCAGTCACCGAAAGGTGTTGTTTTGGGTATTTTTGTTACCTATAATTTTGGTACTTTGAATATAGAGTAGTATCTATATACTTGATATTTTGGAGTGTGTCTTACAGACGTTTTAAGTAAGTTTGGGATATTGGTTGTCATTCTAAAGTGGGTACTTGATTTGGAAATGACGAGTTTTGCAAATATGTTCCTTTTTAATGAATTATAAGTTAAATAAACGAGTCGTTATTCAAAGGAAATTGTTTGATTTTAATCGTTTTATGTTTATATGATAAACTGCTTTAACTCACTAGACGTCAAGCCTAACACTTTTTCTTATCGGCAAGTATATCAGGTATTATTGGGATCTGAGTGGAGTTTAGAGCTTTGTAGAGGTTCCAGTAGGATGGCTTTATAAGCCATTATCCAGTTTTAAAGATAACAGACTTGATGGTTTTAGCAACCTCCGGCCTATTCTAATTTATGTTGGGAATTAGATAGTTCAACATAAAACTCTGATATCTATCTTCTTCACCTTCACTGGTAAACTTTAAGTGTTTTTGTAATTTGAAGAAATTTGGAAATTTTGATTGTCTGATATTTTCTATTTTTAGGGGTGTTACAAAATATTAGTTTGTTTCTAATATACAAATCCTACACAATCCCATGAAATACCGACCACCTCCATGGGATTTCAAAATCCAATGTTTGTGAGATTTCAATAAAAATTTGGGATTTCAAATCCAAACGATATTTAAAACCAAACATGAAATTAGAATGAAATTTAATTCCAAATCCAATCAATCCTACAGACCAAACGAGACTTAATATTTTTGGCACAGTTGATTTGAAATGGCAAACAAAGGTAAACAACTTGATGAAAGAAATATAAATAACTCAACTATTATTTTAGATAACCGTGAGTATCGATGTCAGTTTATACGTATATTGACTTATTTCATAAGGCACTGAAGTTAACAACTAAACAAAAATTCACGGGCTTTAAGTTTGAGGGACTCGAGAGAATAACACTTGGGAGCAACCCCAGATTATACCTGTTGAGCTACCAAAGGGTTAACTCAACAATTACTGATAACTTGTATTAGAAATTTTGATTAAAAACAAACTGTAATTAATATGATTATATATACTATATTATAAAACATTTGACAAAAACTCTTAAAAATCACTTTTTATGCGTAAAGTACTGGATAAACAATTATTTTTAAATATAATTAGAATAATCATTGAGTTCTAACAAAATACTTGATTATTATTTTTATAAAATGTTATATTATTAAACCAAAAATAAGTTATTAAATTTAAATTAAATTATAATAAAAAAATAAATTAAAAAATTACATAAAAAATGAGAACTTTTAAATAGTTGATTTGATAATAACATTGATATATATATTTTTTTCAAATTTATATTTTATTCAAAAATAAAATCATTATTACTTTCTTAAAAACACATAAAATCGTATTATAACATCGACAGAGACAAATAATAAATTAGAATATTAAAATCGAGATGTATCTTGCTGCATTGTGCGAGTACTCTTATAGTAATAGTATTAAATATATGATTTGCTTTTTATTCAAGCATAGAACCAGTAAAAGATACAAAACTCTAAGTAGTTTTAAATTGTCATAAGATTATGAGTTAGTTTTATCAAACGTTACTAGTTTACCAACTAACTTATAAGCTAACAGCTAATTTATATGCTAACTGCTTGTTTATCCGTAATTCACTAAACATAGCTATAGTTTTGTTTTATAAAAATATATATCATTTGTACATAATAAATGAATTCACTCCCCTTTTTATCTTTATTAAAGTTTGAACCCCTCACTTTCTAGGAGGTTAAAGCTATGTTTGGCAAACTAATTGATAAGCTAACTGATAATTGATAAGCTAGTTGGTAGCTATTAAGGTAGCTGGCGAACAATCATGTTTGACAAACACTAGATGATAACATTGTAAAATAACCAAAAAGGATATCTTGAAAAATTAGTTAATTAAAAAAAAAAAAAAAAAACAGATATTTAATAATATAATATATTAATACAAACAAGATAGTAAAAAAAATTAAAATAATATAATATGTTAATTAAAAGAATTTTAAATTAATTATTATATATTATAAATTTTGGACTTGTTAAAACAAATTTTAGAAAAAAAATCTACATTAATTAATGATTGAGTAAATTACACTTTTCGTCTCTATGGTTTGTTAAAAATTGCGATTTTCATTTTTGTGGTTTAGAAATTGCAGTTTTCATTTCTATGGTTTGTAATTTATTGTTATTTTTGTCCCTGAACTAATTCTTACATTTTTAAGTACAAGGGACCAAAATAGTACATAATTATAAACCACAAGGACTGAAACAACTATAAATTATAAATTAGATTGACGAAAATAGCAACGATTTACAAACTATAGGAACGAAAATCATAATATCTAAATTACAAGGATGGAAATCACAATTTTCACAAACCATAGGAATGAAAAACGTAATTTACTTTTTATGATTTTAAATAATCATTACGTATAGTATGAACAAAAAAATTGGTCAACCTCACATATCTTAATTAATTAATAATTTTTCAAAAACTATAATTGATAATTAAATTAAATATTTTATTAAAATCATTTAAAACAATTTTATTATCTATGAATAAAATAAGTATAATTATAATTTTTACGTAACTTACATAAACACTATTAAGATTATTATATTTCCTTTTTGATAACTAAATATATTAATTAATAATCAAAAAATATAATACACAAATAATTTTATATGATTAATAATTAATTCAAAACAATTAGTATTAGTGTATAGTTAAAATTAATTAATAATTTTCAACTAATATTAATTATTATTAGTATAAATACATATCTAATTAATAATAATAAATAATAACCACAAAGGTGATGGCTGATTGGTTTGAGCTTGACTCTAAAAGTCAAAAGTATCAGGAGGTCTCAGGTTCAAATTCAAGAAGGAATAAAAATCTTCTTGTGGCCATGTAGGTTCAAATGCGGTGACTCCGGACTATCTGCAAAACAAGTGGTCACCCTGGAATTAGTCAGCTCGCATAACGGGTTGGATATCCAGGTTAATAAAAAAAAGGAATAATAATAATAAAAATAAATAAATAATAAATACTATTATGAGGGTTATAATCGCTACTCTAATTAGCGATTCAATAAACTAGCCTATAAGCTAACTTTTATTCATCCAAACATATACCCAAAAAATAAAAGAACTTATAAGTTAGTTTATAACAATATCTCCAATGCAATGTTCTTATTAGCAAAAAATGAAGTGACTTGTAAGAACTACCATTGTAAAGACTTCTTATAATAACCTTATATTTTCATAGTTTTTGTACAAAAACTTTGGTTTTTATCATAAAGTTTGCGAAAAGTAACATTTTCCTACTTTTTTTATTTAATTTATTGACTTCATAAATATTATTGATGTTGAAAAAATCAATCCAAATCAATTCATTAGAGATGCTCAAGCTAACTTACGTTTGTCAAAAAATGCCTAAAAATCCCAGTTGGAAAAAACTATTTAACAATTAATAGTTTATTTAATTCTAAATATATAACTTTAAATAAAACATTTTCAAACTATAAATCTATACTATATTATAAAACATTTGATAAAAAACTCTTAAAAACCATTTTTTATGTATTAAGTACTGTTTATTGATGCATATTACTTAAAATTCAAATATTACAAGTAATTTTGCTTAAATACAATTTATTAAAGTTTTATTTTTAAATTCGTGTAACTAACTGCAGATAAATATGATCAAATACAAGATGAACATTCATTTTAAATATAGAAAAACTAAAATATAATTAAGATAATCATTGAGTTTTATCAGAATGTTTAATTATTATTTTTATAAAAAATTATATTGTTAAACCAAAAATAAATTACTTTGTCATTAAATCTAAATTATATTATAATAAAATATTAAATTAAAAAAGTTACACAAAAAAACGAGAACTATTAAATAGTTAATTTGATATTAATATCGATTTATTTTTTTTCAAAATTTTACGCTATCTTCAAATTTATATCTCATTCAAAAATAAAAACATTATTGTTTTTTCAAAACTATATACAATTGTATTATATCGATAAAGATAAAAAATAAAAACTAAACATTAAAATCGGCACGAATACCCTTCTAGTTAGGGGTGCTCAAAAATCCGACCAACTCGATCAACCGAACCCAACCCAACCCAACGCGAAATAAATCAACACGAAACAACCCGATGTCTAATCGAGTTGTAAAATTGTCAAACCGTAGGTATTGGGTTGATATTGGGTTATTATTATTTGAACCCAACCTAATCCGATGAACCCGATATCTTTTTATTTCTTAAATTTAATATGATTATTGAATTTATATTAATATATAAATTAAACAATTATAATATCATGTATGCTCTTCATATACACATATTTTCAATCTATTCACATCTCTATATAACTCATTCGTATATATATTCTCAGTAACTCTTAACATATATATGTAAATTGAGAAAATTAACTCAATGTGATATACGTAAAAAGTATGAATAATTTGTATCAAATGGTTGATGATAAAAAAAATTATAAGTAGAGAAATAACATACAAGGTTATAAAAATATTTTAATGTATCAATGTATCAACCCAACAGGTTGGGTTAAGATTTTTCAAACCGTAAACATTAAATTAGGTTGTTCAAATATTTTCAATCCAATCAACCCAACCTCTAAACACCCCCTTGGTTTTATTCTTCTAATAACAATTGAGACAATATATGTTCTTGTCAAAATAAATGGATTAAAATTTATTAACAATAAAATATGATTAATTTATGAAACAGAAGACCTAAAAATAGGTAACGAGAGAGCAGGGCTAATATTTCTGTTTTTAATTCCCTTCAAACTCGCGCCAAGGATGATGCAATGGTAAATACATACAGATACCTGTATATATTGAGAGACAAGAGAACCTTCTAGTGAGAGAAAGAGGGGATAGAGAGAGTGGGAGGAGCACTGGTATATAATAAGTGCTCTTCCGACGTCGAAAGCACGAGAATTTGTGAGTGTCCTTTTAGCTTTTTGAATACTGTCATATGCTTCTACTTGATTCTGCTAATGTGGATGAACATACTGTAAAGGTTCGTCCGGTTTTAGTTGAATTTTAATGTGTTCTTCATATGTGCCAGCGCCATTGATTTCGGTTATGTGTTTTTCGTTGTTTTTGAAGCTTTCAGTTGAATAAAACAACCGGCAATCTCTGGGGTTCTTTAATTTTCTTTGGGTAAAAGTTTAATTTCGTGTGAGATCAGTCTGATGTTTTATAATTTATGCATTTGGTGCTTTTTCTTGGTTCATCTTCTGTCTGGCATGATTTTGTTTGATGAAATTTGAAGAAAGGGTGGTGTTTATGTTTTTCAAAATTAACCCTTAATCACTTTTGTTCTGATGATCGTTAGTTTGGTAGCTTTTAGTTCGTTTTGCGATTAGTCCCTTAAGGATTTGATTTTGGAGATGAAGTTTCTCCGAAATTGTATCTGACAGAAAAGAAGGGACATAAGTTACATAACTTCTTTTCACATGTCTAGGCTCTGGAATGAGACTGAATGTGTTTCAGCTGCCATTGTAAAAGTTTCTAAGAGGTCACACATTTATTTAAGCCCTATATAATTTACAGGCAAAGAAGCAACTACTACTACTACCCATGATGCTTTGTTTGTATAGTAATGATGGATTTTCTTGTCTCTGCTTAGGGTGGGAAGCAAGACTTGTGTCATTCCAGCAACTGTCAAGGCAGGTAACTAACCAACTCTAGAATCATGTTTACAGTTGGGGACCGACAAAAGAGTTTAGTCGCAGGAGAAATGATGACATGTATAAGCTACATATATTCAGGCTTTGGTTTTTGATGGGAAGAAGAGGCTTACAGGCATAGTTGATTAAGGTGGTTAAACAAATAGCTTGCTATAACTAAATCTAGAGAAGGAGACTGACTCATTAGGAGTCTGTTGCTACAGTGTTATCCTACCCCTAAATTAGGATTGAGCATCGTGATGTTGTATTATAAGAAATTATTATAGCTAATTAGAAGGATCTCCTACGTATTAGGAAAATTCTGATGTTAAGATACAAAAAGGAAAGAACTGTGTTATGTATTAGCTTCATGGGAAAGTGCACCGGGAAACAACCTCTCGTTCCTGGTTGTTGAGGTAAGATCTACTTACATCCTACCCCTCCCAGACCTTATTGTCGGGTGGGATATTTTGTGGGTTCGTTTGATTTGGAAAGTGCAACTGGAGAAGTATTGGAAGATCGCCTTTTATATACTTTTGGGGGATAGAACTAGGTTAAAACTAGTGTTTTAGTGTTGTAAGTGTTCAACCCCAAAGGTCTATTTGAGATGCTTTATGTTTGGGGTTATCCCTGAATAATGGTACATATTGCTTAAACCTTGAACTATTATGATACAAGAGCATTTTTCTTAGAATTCTGGAGAGCGCATGAGTTCTCTGCTTCTACTGGTGGTGGCTAGGCGGGTACATAAACTTCCTTTTGTTGTGTTTTTTTGTCGCTTCTAGACTAATTTGTATTCACTGCAGACCTTGAATGTATCCTCCAAACCGTTCAGGATTTGTACAAACCCTCTATGGGGATTAAAAATTAGATGGTTTTGCTTTGACAAGGTTTTTCTGTATTGAGTATTGACTTAAAGTTTTCACAACCATTCTTGCATCTGCGACCAGCACAAGCTGCAATCAAGCTCCCTGGCCATCATTGCATGTTACAAAGGGCTGGTGTATTCTTATCTGTCTTTGTAACCAAACAGAGCCTTATGAAAACCTTGATAAATTCAACAATGCATACGATGCTCTTTAGTCATCTTTTATATCTCTCTCTTTCAGTTGCAAACTAAACTGTAATTCTGATAAAGTATGACAAACCTTCTGCTACTATTATGACCTAGATCTTACCTGCATTTGTTTGACTTGACTCATCTGAAGGCCACTAGAGCGCTCATACCCGTCTATGATCCTTGTATGCCTTTGTAGGGCTCTAAAGTTGGATCTTTGCTCATACCTCCAGTACTTGCTAAACCTTTTCTGCTCTGTCAACTTTATTGCTCCTATCTTGATGGCTTCTTTCCCTAACTCTCTTATCATGGAGGTCAAGAGGAGGATCCATCAAGTCAGGAGGAGGCATTTTCTTCATCCGACAGGAGGAGCCATACACTCAAGAAAAGGCATCTAAACCAAGGTCTGCGCTAATGTTTGCCTGATTAATTATTATGGTTCTCACAAGCGTCGTTTAAGGGCATGCTTTATTCTTGCGCCATTTGAATTTGAAATTTTTTTGCTAGTTTGATTCTTAGGCTGGCATTTTCTTAAGGAGTATGTCATAACTTAGCAAGGAGATTTCTCTTTAGGAGAAGGAGAAAGTCAAATAGGAGGATTTTTCAAGTTGAGTGGAAGCATCAAGATCCTGATCTACTATGGTAATCTACTGGTAGTTAGGGACTCTTATGGATAAACACTCATAAAATGATGAAGGTATCTTGCAATAAAATCAATGTGCCCATATTGTCAACAGTCAAGTTTTCCATCAGAGGACTAAACACAGTAAGTAGATTGTCGTAGCTGTAAGGAGCCAGGTTGTGTGCACATTAATTGATCATTCCCCAATCCCCCACTGAGTGTACTGGTCCACATTTAGAGTGAGTTACAACTGGCAGCCTTGTAAAGCTGCCATAAAAGACCCAAATTGATTTCATATGCAGCAAGATCGGAATGATTGATTTCATATGATCTCCTTCGATTAGGCATGATTTTAGGTTGATTGATTTAATCTTATCTTTTATTTTCTGGCATGTAGTCTATATGAAATTTTCCCCATAGACATAGAACATCAATAACCCTTTTTAGCCTTAAATTACGTTAACATCCTAGGTTGGAATAAATTAAAGAAGCATAGACAATAAACTCAGAACTTTTTCTCAACTCTCCTCTTTTGTTCTTCATAGCCTTCTCATATACATGGTTCTCTTATCGCTTAATTAGCTTAACCAGGACGGTGTTGATGCTAAGGCCACATGACTCTTCCAGGTGCAAGTCCTTGACACCAGGACGAAAGGACTCTCCTTGGCTATGGTTAATAACTAAGTGAAAACATGGGACTGACCTCTAAAGCTACATAGACCGATCATGTAGTTTTAGCTGGTTTCATAGTGACAATGGTATTGGTGTGCTATATCATGTTGTTCCTTACTCAGGTTTGTTGTTCAACTGGCTTGCTTGGGTGTCTAGCTGTGATATGTTGGGCACTCTAGTTATAATGTTGAAGTTAAGGGTTAGTGAAACTCTAGCGGAATTATCTTCTGAATGCTAATGTTCATGCTTCTTATCAAAACTGGAGGGCACATTTTGGATGAAATTATCTTTTCATTTTTAGTTCAAAGCAGATATGAAGTTACCGACAACAGTCTTATTGGAGGTGAAATCAATTGTTTAATTCTGGATGAAGGCTGTACTCCATTTATTGACATATGGGTCTTATGCCATCCTGTTAAGGGTATACTTTTTTCAAAAAGTTTTAGTGAGAAATATTGCTCTATTTGTGTAATCGTATAGAGTTAGTGACAAATATTGTTCTATTTGTTAATAGGACAAAAGTGTACAGGAATAACTTGCACAAAATATTGCGCTACTTATCTTTTCCATTTACTTGCATAGACTATTCATAATCTTCTTTTCGTTTCGTCTTCAGGGTTGCATGCTTCATTACTTGAGGACTTGAGGGCGTTAATCACAGAATTGAAAATTATCACTGTGCATGATATCCCAGTATTTGTTTCAGGGGTGCACGAGTTTTCACGTGGAAACCAGCATGTGATCTGCTGTTAGGGAAATATGGTATATGAAATATGCAGCAACTGAAAGTTATGTAATTAAAAAATCTACAGAGGGTGACGTTTCCATAAATTACACCCTCGTAAATGGCCCCAGGGGGATTGCCTTACTTTGACCCTGAGTACGAGAGCTTAAGTATCAGAATAAATCCTCCAAGGTTCTCTCTCTCTCTCTCTCTACCCCCATCTCCTTTGTGTGAAAACCCCCTCCCAATTAAAAAGTAACTAAACTACACATGTATGATGTCTTGACACTTTCCAATGCCCATGATTAAAATTCAATTTTGGCTCGGTAGGAAGAAGTATCTTAATGTCTTGCTATATTGGTGTACTGGTGTACATAAATTGCTTTCTTGTTGTACCTCCTCTTTCTTTTGATTCTACCCACACTTGTTCTGTATTTGCAGGGTTTCTGTGGATAATACTAGTTGTGGAGACTGTACTTTAGTCAAGGTATATACTTTTGGCGCATCTATTTATGTACTATAAAGCAGATACTGACTTAATAAATAATTAGATGAGATATATTACTTTGCTTCTTCCACTTTTATATAACTTAATGAAGAAACAAACAATCAGTTTTAAACAACATAAAGACTATCAATGAAGAAAATGGTTGTGTGACATCGTAAATGTCAACTTTGTCCATTGTGATCAGTATCTGGATACTTTACAATTATGAGATTATAATGTTCAGCAAGATATCGGTAGCAGATGGAGGACATATCCTTTACTATGTATCGTCACAGTAGCTTGAGTGATAAGCTTCTGGAGACTAGAACAAGTGTACTTGTTTTGAGAAAATATTGGTCTACACATCGTATATTTCACATCTCCGCAACATGAAAGAAACAACCAAAATGCTCCAAGTAAGCCATATTGAACTATGTATTTGGGACAAAATACCCATTTTTGTAGTTTTGGGTCAACCCCTTACAACATAATCAATATAAAATTGGGCCATGGCTTCCATCTTATGGAGCAAGAGATACACTGGCTGCTAAAATTTGATACCCACTAACCGTTGTCAAAATCAAATTGCTTGTGCTCAATTGTGGTGGGAAACTTAAAGCACCTCTTGGAAGACAATTTTTTATCTTGCATTCTTAAATTTATGTAGAACTAAATCTTAGAAAAATTTCTAACTTCATATACTATATTGACAAGGGGTGACGTTGTACCAATGCAACAAAGAAACAAATAACAAGCCATAAAGGACGACACACAGATTTACGTAGTTTTCCAATAGTGTGTTGGCTAGTTCACAGACAAGGGAAAGATCAGATTCATATTAAGTTTTGTGGAGAGAGTACTGATATCTGGGTTCTGGTTGGCTAGGTCAGGATATCAGGGAATGGAGTTCATATGTTTACTCCTGAAATACATTGATAGAACCTCTGTGAAGAAAAAGGAAGAACAGAGAAATGGAGAAGAAGATTGCAATAATTGTTCAGGGATGACAATCCCTTACTCTTTCATTTAATAGAAATTTGCTTTACATCTTACCCATTCAATAAAACCGACTAAAATCCAACGGTCCTACATTTTAAGAGAGAGACTAGCAATATTCTAGAAGCTAACAACCTGAGGAATGATACACAGAAAAGGGGTGCACCTTAAGTAAGGTAGTTTTTAAGTTTGGTAGGCAATTGAGTTGTACGTTTGGGTCAGTAGCTTTGGGCAGTTGTAACATATCATGGCCATCTCCTGGGGAAGTGACCTTGTCCTCAAGGTGGAAACCAGTGAAGCTGAGTTGAAATTGTTGCAATTCTTCCTATGTATCGTTGTCAGAAGTGGTGTTTTCCCAGTGAATTAAGAGCTGAGTTTCCCACTTGTGATCCACCTTGACTCTTCGGGTTTGAAGTACAGCTTGGGGCAGCAACATTGGTCCCCCGTTGGTGAAATGAAGAGGTAAGTCTGAAGGTACCGCAGAATTCGGTTGAGGACACAACAACAGAGAAATGTGGAAGACATTGTGGACTTCGGCAGTAGCCGGTGATGCCAATTGATAGGCTACTTTTCCCACCCGAGCCGTGATCATGAAGGGCCCAAAGTACCTCTTGGCTAGTTTGGGGTATTAGCGGTTTTCTACCGAATGTTGGCGATATGGTTATAGTTTCACAAATACCCAAGACCCGACATCAAGTTCTTTATCTTGGCGGTGCTTGTCCGCTTGGTTTTTCATACGGACTTGGGCACGCTCTAGATTAAATTTAACAGAGTCCAGGATAGTCTTACGATTCTCAAGCCAAGTGTCTAGGTCGGCAACTGATGTAGACCCTGGAACAAAGTCAGTGAGCAAGGGTGGTGGATGTCCGTATGGGGAATGACCCATGGCACTATGAATGCACGTATTGTACCAATATTCTGCCCATGGCAGGTAACGAGCCCACTGATTGGGGTGATCACTGGCGAAGCTCGGAGGTATGTTTCTAAGCAATGGTTAACTACCTCGGATTGGCCATCCGTTTGTGGATGGTAAGAACTACTAAAGTTAAGGGATGTGCTCTGCAAACAAAATAATTCCCGCCAAAAATTACTAGTAAAGAGCTTATCACGAAAAAAATAATGGATGCAGGGAAACCATGGTGACGGGTATATTCATGAATGAAACGGTCTGCTAGCTTAGAGGCTGTAACAGACGCCGGTAGAGCACAAAAAGGACCATATTCCAATAACCTGTCCACGGTGACCCATATACAAGTGCTTTCGTGAGATGGTGGAAGACCGGTTATAAAATTGATGGAAATAAAGTCCCACGTTCTGCCTGGAATGGGTAACGGCTGTAGCAAACCTTGTACGGAGATGTACTTGGTTTGATTTGTAGACAGACCGAACAAGTTTGAACATAAGTCCATGAGACCAAGGAATCAACAAGTATTCCCGTTATTGAGTGAGGCCGAGGCCACTGCATCACTGCCGAAACTTTACTAGGGTCTATTGCAACTCGTGCTTCTGTGATGGTGTGCCCCAAGTATGCAATTTGGGTCTGCCCAAAATCACATTTAGCTAACTTGGCAAAGAACGAATGATCTTGTAACAATTGTAGGACTGTGGCCAATTGTTGCAAGTGTGACTCCCATGATTGACTGTAGATCAGAATATCGTCAAAGAAGACAAGCATGCATTTACGGAGTTGGTGACGAAAAAGGTTGTTCATGCTTGCTTGAAAGGTGTTTGGGGCATTCGATAAGCCGAACGACATGACAAGGAGTTTGTAATGACCCTCGTGGGTACGGAAGGCAGTTTTGGCAATGTCGGGGGAATGGACACGGATTTGGAAATACCCACTCCAGAGATCCATTTTAGAAAAATATTTAGCACCATGCAGCTCATCTAGGAGTTCATCCACGGTAGGAATGGGAAAACGGTCTCTTATGGTGATGGTGTTAAGGGTGCGATAATCAAAACAAAAACGCCATGAACCATCCTTTTTCTTTACTAATAAGACTGGAGAAGGAATAGGGCTTGTGGATGACCGGATTAATCCTTGTTGAAGCATAAGTTGCACTTGTCGCTCCAATTTGGACTTCTGGAAATATGGATTGCGATAGGGGCGGATACTGATTTGTTGGGACTGAGGTTGTAGATTGATGTGGTGATCGAGGTCACGAGTAGGAAGTAATGCCTCTGGAGTTTGGAAAACCTTTGCAAACTTGTCGAGAAGGACTTTGATTGCTGGATGAGTGATGTGGCTTTGAGTTTTGACCAGAGATGGCGGTAGGTCGGGGCTATAGTGGTCCATGGTTAGGGAATGTAGTAGGTGGAGGTGGAAATAGGAGGCTGCTGACTCGGTTTGATGAATACGTCATAACTAACTTAAGGTGATCGGAGATGGTGGTGCGGTATGTGTGAGTCCTTGTGGGGTGATGGTTGTTTCACCATGTACAAAGTACATAGTGAGGGTGTTGTGGTCGGTAGTAATTGGCCCTAAAGTAGCCAACCATTGCACTCCCAGAACCGCATTTTCCCCCGGAGAAATTTAAGATGTGAAAGTCCACATAGAACTAATGTCCTTGAACAAGCAATGGAACCTTTGAACATAATCCTATGGTATGTAACTTCTCACCATTACCAACTGCAACCGCAAATCATTGGGAAGTGATAGGGAGTCGTAAAAACTGGACAATACGAGATAGAAAGTAATTGTGAATACTGCCTGTATCTACCAAAATCGAAATAGGGGATTCCGATATCGATGCGTAAAATCGAAAAGTTCGTTGGTGAGTGGTTCCCGTTAGAGCATGCAGTGAAATCTCGGGAGTTGGTTCCATGAAATCTGTATGAAATCTGTGAGAGGGCATGTCTCATGCATAGGATCAGGTGGTACTGTCTCTTCATCCCCATCGAGTAATTGTAGAGATTTATTTTTGCATTTGTGCCCGGGTCTAAAACGTTCATAACAGTTGAAGCACAGGCCTTGGGCACGACTTTCTTTTTTGATTAAGGGGCAGTTTGGCAGTTGCTGAATGGTTTGGTGCAGAATGATTAAGTGGTCAGAATGATGAAGAGGCTCTCATGATATAGTGCAAAATGAAATATAATTGTTTAGTAATTGTGTATGATGAAATTAGGGCGCTGAATGGTTAAGGGAGGCCCACGATACAAAATCATTCAGAGGGTTTTAGAACCATTAAGAGGCAGACCTTTTTTTTGCCAAACAAGATTCACCTCTTAACGATTCAGGGATGCCTCTTAATGGAACTATTAAGAGGTAAACAAACAACCCCTAACCTGGATATACAACCGCTTTGGTCACTCCTTCATGAGGAGAAGATCATTGATCCGAGTTGTCGAAGCAGCCTCACTGCAATTACAAAGTATTAGAGGAAGGCTCTTACCATAAGACTTCCTTCTGCAATCCTTGCAAAGCCAAGGAGTCTTGGTGCACCTTGCCACCTTTTCAAATATACCGATAAAAGTGGACAAGACATTTTATATGGGTGTACATTATAATTTCTTCGAGTAAAAAGGACTGAACTCACTAAATTATACGACATATCAAATCTAAATGGCCTTACCTGGTTTGCTACATTTTATGTTACCAAAAGGCGATCAGTTGTGTGTTATTATTTTCCAGAAACAGTAAATGCAATGAGAGCAACATCACTTTTCAGGCTTAATTATGTGTCAGTAGGATGCTTTTCTTTGCTTATCCGAATCTTTAGTAATTTGTTAGACTGACTGGGTAGACGTTTGTATGTTTTGATAGGTTGACAGTGTAAACAAACCAGGAATACTTTTGGAGGTGGTGCAAATTCTAGCAGATCTCGATCTCATCATTACTAAAGCATACATATCCTCTGATGGTGGATGGTTCATGGATGGTATGTGTATATTGCAAAAAGAAATACACAAAATATTTCACATTTTTCCCAATTGCCTACTTGAACATAAAGTTTATCACACTTTTACTCTTGTAAACCTATCAAATTGCATCATTTGCTCCAATTTTAATCACATTACATAATGCCCTTCTCTTTTTCTATTGTCCAAATTGATTACTTGCGTTAGTTAAATTCAATTATTGTTGGACGAAAATAATGTAATTGTCATAATAATGTGATTGATATATCTTTTTGTTGAGGTATGCAATTGAGAAAACCACGAAACCTATATAACTCTTTTGCCAAATATTACCACTACAAAAAAATCTGATAAATTCTCATATTTGCATATGAAGATTAGCGTTTGTTTCTTAACGTGAGAACATGTGGAACCCCCAGATCACTCTCCAAAATAGCTCTTGAGGAGAAAGGGGAGGTTCCAACATATATACAGGAGAAATGGTTCAAGTCTAGCTGATGTGAGACTCCAACATAGCCAAATAAACAGTATTGTGTTTCCTTCACATGTAAACCCTGGTATTTGATACAAAGTCAAGGTAATGATATAGTCCAACAAATTTAGGAAGGAAATGGAACTTACATACAAGTTGCACTAATCACAATTATGGGCATGCAATATTTTCTATATATGGATGGTGGCATCTTTTGCAGCATTCCACAAGTGCCAACCTTGTTAAAAGCTAGTAGTAGCTCAAGGAGAGTAGTCTCTTTTCTCTTTTATTTTCACAAATACCAACTTCCATCATAGTTTTATGTATACTTTCACATGCACATGTGTAATATATCAAAATGGTGGATTATCGGTTTCCTAATATTCTTCTACAGTGTTTCATGTCACAGACCAACAAGGAAATAAAATAACAGACAATATGACGATTGACTACATAGAAAAGGTATGTTTTCTGTTCAAGTTATATATGTTCTAAATTTTGCAATTTTTCAGTTGTAGTGGAACTTGATACCCACAAAAACGTCATACCCACCTAGCAAAATCAATGTATAGAAGAAAGATGTAAGAAATGAGTAAAACAGGAAAGAGAATGACATTTGGTATTGGGTGGAACATTAGAGCATCTCCAAACTATGCCACATAAGATTTCTCTTTCCAACACATTTTATAAACCTTCTACCCCCAATCATGAACCGGTCCATGATTTATAATTAAAAATTACAACAAAAGACAGTGAATAAATTCATGTACTAGTTGTTTATTAAAATGGCTTTGGAGCCCACAAAAAGTGGTGGTGGAACTGGTCCACACTTTTTTTTGTCTCACAATGGTATAAACCGTTTTTTTCCAAGCTGATGTGGCAATGTACCTCCAAGACCCACCCATTTTGGGATGCTCTTACCTATTCTATAAGCAAAATGCTGCAGCAAAGCGTTGGCTTGTGTAACTTGTTTCTATATATTAATTTTATATTTGGGTTATTCCAATGTGTCAGGCTCTGGGTCCGAAAGGCCACACAGCAGATGAAAGCAGGACATGGCCCGCGAAAAGGGTTGGGGTCCACTCTATGGGTGACTACACAGCCATTGAGCTTGTTGGAAGGGACCGCCCAGGTCTATTATCAGAGATCTCTGCTGTAATTGCGAACCTCAAATTTAATGTTGCTGCTGCTGAAGTCTGGACACACAACAGGAAAATAGCATGTGTTGTTTATTTAAATGACGATGCCACTTCTCGTGCCGTGGATGATCCGACTCGATTGTCTGCTATGGAAGAACAGCTCAAGAATATCCTTCGTGTGTGTGGAGATGATGATAAAGTGGCTCATACCAAATTCTCAATGGGTCTGACCCATATTGACCGCCGACTGCACCAGATGTTATTTGCTGAAATGGATTATGCGGGGAAGGGGTTAACAGCTGAGGCTGATTGTGCTGCTTTTCTGGAGCTCAAGATTTCAATTGATCGGTGTGCAGAGAAAGGCTACTCGGTGGTCACTGTTAGGTGTAGGGATCGCCCAAAACTTATGTTTGATATTGTCTGCACCCTCACAGACATGCAATATGTTGTTTTTCATGCCACCATATCATCTGATACCCCCTATGCAACACAGGTATGTCACTTGCAACTAAATGTCATAATTTACTTTATTTATCTGCTCGACAAGAATCATTTCTCTAAATTGATTGAAATGCACTAAATCATCGCTTCGGATAAAATCGGATTTTCTAGTAATAACATCTAACGATCAGAAACCTCAAGTTTCTAGATGTGACATAATGAAATGAGGCTTACATATGTATCCTTCCATCGGTAGATGAGTCAAATCCAATGCCTTGAAAACATGTTCTAGGATTTTCGGGGATTAGAATTATTATGCAACAACTAATGTGAAGCTTTGTAATATAGCATCAGCGAAGTATTTGAGTAGCCTCTTGGCGATTACACGGCACGCTTATTGACAGGGATTCTAGATCCTAGAAGTTCCCCTCTCACCATTTCTCTTTGTACCCTGAAGAAAGTAAATCTAACATTGGGACATTTTTATAGACAATTTGTATTTGCTTGATGGTAAAAAATTTAGAAAAATGTTACTGAATTTTCTCTATAATTGTAAATTGGAGTCTTCTTTTTGGGAGGGAGGGAGTATTTCAGATGTAGACCTGCTCTTGCAACCATGTATAGTTATAACACCACTGAAGTGACAAAAAGAGAGAAGATGATGCCAATATTCTTTCTAGTTGGGCTTATTGCTTGAATTTGGAAAGTAGATGTTAACTAGAGTGTGTGTGATTTTTAAAAAACATTCAGGAGTATTATATTCGTCACGTGGATGGTTCCCCTGTTAACACCGAAGGAGAGGAGGAGAGGGTCATCAGGTGTATTGAGGCTGCAATTCTGCGAAGAGTAAGCGAGGTAAGGAATATTATTATACTCTGTATTTTCTTTAAATCAAAAACAAACCAAACCAAGCAGACACAATAGTAAAGGTCTGTTAGGTTTGTAGGAATGGAATGGAATTGGGGGAATTTGGATTTCAAGTCCATTCCAATCCTGTGTTTGGTATGTAGGAATGGAATGGAATTTTGGGAATTTGGATTTCAGATCCTCTCCAATCCCGTGCTTAATATGTAGGATTATCTGGATTTGAAATACTAGGATTCTGCAAACATAGAATTTTGAAACCCCCCATGGTGGTTGGGATTTCATGGAATTTCGTAGAATTTGTATATAATAATGTTTTAAAATATATTAAAAACATTTATTTTAATAATTCATCGATAAAAAGGTAACTTAATTATTTTTATAATTATTTATTATTTGTTTTTATACATTATTTAAAAAAATGGAATTCCATTTCATTCCAAATCCAACGAACCATACACATGAAAGATTCCAAATCCAACTCCCTCCAATTCCAAATTATTCCCCAAAATTCAAATCCTTCAAGACCAAACATCCCCCAAGTAATTCCAACCGAAAGGTAGGAAACTAGAATCAAAAGGGTTCCTTTGTAAGTGGGTGTCATTAGTTTCTACCATTTTTCTTTGAACCATACACATGAAAGATTCCAAATCCAACTCCCTCCAATTCCAAATTCTTCCCCGAAATTCAAATCCTTCAAAACCAAACATCCCCCAAGTAATTCCAACCGAAAGGTAGGAAACTAGAATCAAAAGGGTTCCTTTGTAAGTGGGTATCATTAGTTTCTACCATTTTTCTTCGATTCATTCTCCATCTTTCATTTTGTAGGTCCCAACTTCATTTCTACTCAAAATAAATGAGGCTAATACACCTTTTTTTTCTGCCACCATATAATACGACCTCTTTTTCTATGATCAACTGTAACTCTAGGGAATCATTGGCAATTTGGCATTGAAATGTGAAAATTATTGGTCCATTCTCTGTGGCCCTGCGGCTTTGTGATCTCCCGGTTATAAGATGAAACTCCGGGAAAATTTGTTAGAATGCTTATAACTTTCTCTTCTAATAGTTTCAACAAGTCATTTTACTTGAGCCGTCCCACTTTATTTGAAAAAAGCATACCATTGTGGATGCTTAATGTCACGATTCATACCAAATTTTAATCAAGGGTCCAAGTCATGTTTTTCTTTTTCTTCTTTGGGTGATCAAGGGTTTGAGCCTTGAGCTATGTGCGAAAGACCGTGTAGGATTGCTTTCTGAAGTGACAAGAGTCCTGCGCGAAAATGGGCTATCGGTGTCAAGAGCAGGTGTAACAACCGTGGGTGAGCAAGCAGTGAATATTTTCTACGTAAGAGATGCTTCTGGGAATCCGGTAGACATGAAAACTATAGAAAGGCTGAGAAAGGAAATAGGGGAGACAATGATGGTTAATATAAAGAAATCCCCATCATCAAGTTCTAAGGTACCCGAAGCAAGAAATAGAATGAGCTTTTCGCTTGGCAGCTTATTTGAACGCTTCTTGCCTTGACATATTTCTTCGGTGTTCTTGTATAGAATGAATAATCAATGGCATACGATATATATATATATATATATATACAACTTACGAGCACGAGGACTGGTTAGTATTTTCCCATGTAAGTATATCGTCTTTGTTTTTTTCTTTCTTCTAAATGTGTTACCTCATCTTGTTGTTGGTATTAAGTAAATAAAAGTCTTGTTGGAATGTTGGAAATTTTGCGTTGTTTACAAGGCCTGTGGGAACTAGATCCTCTTTTACAAGCAAGTAATTAATGCCTTTGAAATGATAAGAGCGGAAACGAATAAGCTTTTAACTACAAAGAGATTATAAGCATAATGATGAAGGAAACACAAACAGAAACAGAAAGATTGGCCATCGTCATCATCATATACTGATTGGACATCATCATCTCTCGTTAGGTTGTTGGGAGATACGTCGTACTAAAAACACTAAACAAGTTCCCTATTTATAGCCTACAACAGAAAAGTCAAAGCACCCTCCAATGAATGAGATCCATGTGTAGAAGTGCAATAATCGCTTCAAGCTGAGATGGCAGACTATGATAGGATGACAACACCGAGTAAATCCGCTAATAGTTTGGGATTCTTCAATTGATCTTCTTAACATTGCAAGTAAATCTGCATCCGTCGAATCCATGCTAGTCTGTGATAGCAACTTAGCATACAACATTGATTTAAGTTCATCCACCGATAGATCTGTATCTTGAAAAGATTGAGGGGGTGGTGACGGAATAGGATCTTCTTCAACAACCTTTTGTTTCCCCTTCAATAATGATTTAATCCCCCTTATTTCTTCCATAAAAGAGTTTTGAACAGCCTTTAGGGTGCGTCCAGATATTCACTCGTCACAAAGTCTGGTAAACTAACACCTGGACTACTTAGGTTGCCCGCTGAAACAACAGTTGAATAAACCATTGTGCCTATGTTCAACGCTGGAATATGTTAACATTGGTAGGACTTCTGACCGGTCTTTGTAGAATGTCACTTAGTGACTCCACTTTGGTATGTTTTGGAGTTAAAGATAATATATCTGAATAAGTAAAATGTTTTGAATTTTTTAATTCAGCATTCAGATTACGTTTCCTTTTAGTGAATAAAACAAATTTACAACTACCAAGCTTAACATTTTGATTCTTTATAGAAGTATTAAAGCTTCATGATTTGACTCTTTAGCTTGGTTCGTTCATCAAAACTGGAATTTAAATCCTTCTCGAGATCATGGATCTTTTATAAATTTAACTCATGTATTTTATCTTTGCAAGCCAAACGCATGGTCAATTCAGAAATTTCATCATTAAGCTCTTTGACTTTAAGCGAAAGTTTATTTTGAACTTCTTCCATTGATCTCTTCTTAGATTTTAACTCCGCCTCAAGCTCATAAATTTGCTTCTCTAAAGCATAAATTTTAACATTTGAGTCAAATTCAGAATTAGAATGAATTACCCAATCCTGTTTTTCAGAGTCCTTTCACTCAAATAAAAATCATAAATCACCTCTGATTCAGATTTAGGATCTGAGTCATATAGCACATTTTCAAATATATCAGATCTTGAAGATTCTTCATTTTGTGACACATATTTTGAAGAAAAGTGAACTTTCTGTGGGATAAAATGTCTCAATTTCAAAGTGTGAAAATTCAAGTTTTCTGTTGCATAACTAGAGTTCAAATCATCATATCTCAATCCTACAGTTTTCAAATTCAGTGTTTCAAAACCTTCTTCATCTGATTTATGCATATCACTTTTAGAAGATACAGGTGATTCAGATTCCGACTTAACAAAAATCTCTCAAATAAAAGAAATATAAAATTTTGTATTCCCCTTTCATTAAAATCGTACAAAGATTTTGGGGCCTTCTTCAAGTATCAGACTCAATAGATCCTAAACCCATTTGGGGACTGCAAAATCTTGTGTCATTGGGTTTATGTGTCAAAATTTTCAGTGTCTACTCAGATTGACCTTGATTGAAAATAACTTGCTCCAACTGTTTGACTTTGTCATACAATTTTCCTCTTTCTTCAAAAATCATGTCAAATTTTAAGTGGGTGTTGATTCTCTCACCCTCTGCTTCACTCAAACTACTTTTCAGTGTGATAACTTTATTTTCAAGATCAGATATAAGATGTTCTCTTTCTTTTCTGAGTATTTCTTTCTCTTCTCTTAGACTTTCACTCAAACCTTTATATACAAAGCTTTCTTTTTGAAATTTTAGCAATAAAGATCCTTCAACCATAAGCCTTTGTCTTAGAACTTCAGCCCTCAAGGATTCAATTTCATAATAGAATGAAGTTAGTATCTCATAATTAGATGTAATGTTTCCATGTCCTTTGACATCTTAAAAAAAATGACTTGAAATGATCGTTCAGAAAATGATCTTGAACAGGTTTGGAATCCTCAGAAAATGGCATTTTTTACTTTTTTTTTTAAATAGCACCCCACTTCACACTAGAAAAATTGCTCAACACAAGATATCGCTTGAAGAATATATCGCTCACCTCTTAATCCACTCACGCTTTGGGCGATGAGGGATATTATTGGGCAATACAACGGGCGATTAAAGAGGTTATCGGCCAACACCGTAGGCGATAAGCACAAATCACAATCAGCTCAAGTGTTGGGCGGATTATACTTTTATCGGGCAAAGGCTTGTCCGATATATACCTTTTATCGCCTATGCCTTGGGCGATGAAGTCCAAAACTTAGACAAACTATTCAACAAAATTGAGCGATAACTACCAAATTATGAGCGATAAAATTCACACTTTGAGCGATGAGTACAAAAACCTTCCAAGACTTGGGCGATGAGCACAAGATATCTTCCAATACTTGTGCGATGAAGACCCAAAACATTCAATGAGCGATGAGCAATCAGTCAATACAGATTCATTGGCGATGAGCATATGAATATCACTCAATGAATATTCAATGGGCGATGAAGATTGGTCAAACAATAACTTCAAGAAAATCACCAAATTCGATCAAAAATCCAAAATTGGATGCTATAAACTGCACAGATTATATTGCACACACACTAGAAACACTTTTTGTTATGCCAATTTGATGAAAAACATATTAAAATGGTTCAATTTGATCAAAATGATCAAAAACAGTTTCGAACACAAAAATAGGGAGTTTTGATCACAAATTCAAACAATTAAAATTTAATACAATTCCAAAACCAATTCAGATTCTTTCTGTTTGCTCTGATACCAATTATAGATCCCAGATTCAAGTCTATAACACACTATTCATCAAGATCAAGAACACTTAGAATAGATCCAAGTATGTCGGCAAGTCATTTATGTAAAGATCAAAGTATAAAGTGTTCTTGAGCTCTCAAAGATCTCACATATTCAGAATCTCTCAATGCTAAAGAATGATTAACCAACCAACAAAACTACCAACCAATCTATTTATACCAGGGAATACAAGGGAACAAACTATCTACAAAACTTGTAAACCTACACTACAAAGCAATATTAAAACAGTTTAAAGTAGAAGGACTTGAATACAACATTTTTGACCCAACAAGAGCACTGATTTATCAGTAACATCTTTTGACCTAAACATAGCATTTAAAAAGTTGAGGTACTAAAACTGACAAACCATCAAACTTGCATAACACAAGTACACAACCCACAAAATTTCTCGTCAAGACTTCCGTCGACATTATTTCGATGACAACTCGTTGGCAATCAGAAAATAACCGTTTGGCTTCGTTTGTTCACCGTTTTCGAAACTTCATTTTGCATATCATTTTCTCTAGAAAAACATTTTTTTCAACCATAAGAACAAGAATCAACGAAACCATCAAGTATTGAATATCATTTTCTCATTTAAAGTTTCAGTTTTTATATAACTCGAAAATCTTTAAAGAAACTCAAAATTGGACCTTCTAAACTAAAATCTGAGACATAAGCCTACTAAAGCTCGATAAAGGACTTAAATATGAAGCTAACATATAAAGAACTCGAAGTTTGGGAGAGTATTTCACCTCAAAACAACGATAAATCGAGATTTCGGCCAGAGACTTTGAGCTCCGATTTCTCCCTAACTACTCCATAATATTTGCTACTTTCTTGAAACATTATGCTGCTAAGATGGTTGGCTTCATTTATATTTAAATTGTTTGTCTTATTAGTTGACTAAATGAGTCAATAACATTCTTCAAAATTTGTTGCATTCAAGTTTTAAATTTTCTACAAAGAAAGTCCTTCAAGTATGAGAAAGTTGACGTCTGATACCCCCTGAACTCTTAGAAAATGACATTTGGTCCCTTGACTTCAACACTTCGGACCATATTACACTATTCACCCTTGATCTAACATTTTTCTTTATTTTTAGTCCGATTGAACATAAACTCCTTTATTCACTTCTCACTTTCATTAAATTACATGATTGACCCCCTTTTCACTTTTTTCCTTCACATTTTTGGTCCAATAAAGCCCATTTCTTTTTATATTTATTTATTTACCCTATTTTAGGGTGTCGCATGGTAGACCTTGTATCTGATACCATGTGAGAAGATGTAATACACCAGAACCTCATTAAATTACTCTCTGAAACAACCATTTAGGAGAGAAAAGGGGATTCCAACATATATAGAGGATAAATGATCCAAATTTAGCCAACGTGAGACTCCAACTTGTATGTTATCAAAAATATGTTCGTTTTTAGGATGATTTACAAGACATTTAAAAAAAAACATTCATATTAAAATGGCTAATATTATTATTTTACTTTTCTTGGATCTTATTTGTCTGTCACCCTTTTTTTATAGCGACTTACGTTTTCATAAATATATAACTTGTTAAACTCTCTTCCAACTTATTATAACACTTTTATATAAGAAACTCAAATATTAATATTAAATTAAAAAGTGATCTCATTAAATACTCGATTAAAGCGACTGTACGTATTATAACAGACCAAATTTTTCGTAATGATAATAAAGCTAAAAAAAAGGTTGCAAGTAAAAAAGAACGGGATAATGGGTGTAACAACTCATAACCTAAAAGAGTTGGCAAACCCATTAAGCGTTAAATCAGTATAAAATCATAATGAAAGTTATTGGTACCATTAGTATCATTTCATAGCCTAAAATGGCAGGCTAACCCAATAACTTCTAAATCAATTTACACTTACGATGAAAGTTATTAGTAGCCTATAATACCACAACTTGTAACACCCCCATTCCCGTATGGTAAAAAACGAGAGATGCTATAATTGGTTAAAAAAATCAATGCATTATATAAAACAGAGCAGCTAATAAAATTTACCAAAAGAAAACTACAGAAGAATATTGACATTGCAAAATAATCAAGTTGCTGAGTCATAAATACAAAAGATGGTTTACATAAAAGAGTCAAAACTACCATTTCCAAAACACATTTGAACCACACTTGTATTTGTCCTTCCCTTTGCATTCCAACTCAAGATCATCTGATATGAATGGCACTTTCTGCATATCATGTAATTAACCAAATTAAGATTAATTATAAATAGAATTATAAAAATATAATAACGGAAACGCTTTCGGGTTTTGAGCGTTTAACGAGTTACTCGAGTTCGAGTTGATCTCGAGTCTCGAACACAAAATAGAAGTCATTTAACAGAACGGGTCGAGCACCGTACCAACAATGTCAACTAGACTCGTTTGAAAGCACATTTAAATTGTTTGAGTCACTTAGTTCCATAAGAATAATTTTTGACCGAACATGTTCATATGTCCATAGCAAAATACAGTCAAAACATATATAAACAAGCTTGAACAAATCTTGAATTTGATAAACATGCTATTTAATCGATTTGGCGCATAAACAAACTTATAAAACTTAACCACAAGGGTGTTGCCCGATTGGTTTGAGCTTGGACTCCAAAGGTCAAAAATGTCTGGAGGTCTGAGGTTCGAATTCAAGAAGAAATAAGAATCCCCTTGTGGCCATGTAGGTTCAAATGCGGTGATTCTAGATTACCCACTAAGCAGGTGGTTGTCCTGGGATTAATCGGCTTGTATATCCAGGTTAATAAAAAAAATTATAAAGCTTAAAGTTTAGGCCATAATGTGTAACTTAAATTTGTTAAATAAACATCGAGTTCGAGCTTGAAATATTGAAAAAATATTCGAGCCGGAGCATTATGTTATTTCTCGAGCCAAATAGCCCAAACAACCACTACAACAAAATTGGGTTTATATGACACTCCCAATTTTTAAGCGTCCTAATAAACCTCTTTACAGGACTTAATTTATAGAATCAAAAAAATAAAGTGTCTTATCTAAAGGCGTTGTAATAAGTTTATATGACGTTTTTTGACATCGTAATAAGTTTTTTAAGACACTTTTAATATAAAGCGTCCCATTAGCAACTTTATAGAACACTATTTGAAAAAATGTCCTATAAAAACAAGTGTCCTATAAAAAATGAGTTTATATGACACTTTCTCAAAAGTGTCCTATAAAGTTGCTAATGCGACACTTTGTATTAAAAATGTCCTAAAAGACTTGTTAAGACGCCAAAAAGCGTCATATAAACTTATTACAACACCTTTAGATATGACGTTTTATATTTTGGTATATAAATTAAGTTCTACAAAACGGTCCATTGGGACGCTTAAAGATTGGGGATGTCCTATAAACTCGTTGACACTGTATTAATAAGATGCATCCCAGAAACAAAAATACATGAATTCAGCTCCATATCTCATTAAGCTCATGCAAGATTTCAAGTCGTTTATATGTAACCGAATCAATATGGCTTATATTTTATTTCAATAATAGTTTTCGTAATTAGACTTAATATATTAAATACACAAATCCAATGAAAATGTTGACTCGGGTTGACCCGAGCCAACCCGACTCATTTGGACCCAACCAGATGCCGATACAACAAGTATAAGATTCAAACCCAAAAACTTTAAATTTTAAAAAACGGAACATCTTTAGCTTGTTTTTGTCATTGCAATCGAACGATTATCGTTAATCATACTGATCATAAGAGCATCGATCTCATACAACCACTAACGATGCCAATTCTTTATCATGTCACACTAACGGGCCGTTTACAAAACACTTACCCGGGTAAACGCTTACCAAGTCACGTTATATGGTAAGGACCAAGAATCTTACTCTGTAAGAGCGAGACAAGGACCAAGAGTCTTAACTACCTCAGTAAGCGCTTACCGGGTAAATTATTCCATACGATGTCGTTTTGGTGGACTAAAATCTTACCCAATAAGTAAATAATAGTGTTAACTCCTATCAGTATTCAGTAAGCACTTACCGGGTAAGCATTTGGATAAACGGCCCCTAAGACACTGTTTTATTTCATATAAGAAACAATGCAAAAAAGAATACCTTTTGCTTAGCAAGATCTTGGCAGCCAGTGAAGTTGTAGGGGAAGCTGCATGTTCCAAATTGAACTGTGTAAGCTCTTGCAAAATTTGCTCCACTTGTTGCCAACCTCTTTTGGTCATTCAATTCCTATACAATAAAATAAACGATGTCGTTTTGATATGTTCTTCCAACACACAAAAAAGCTAATCAAAACCACTGAACGTTGTTATACAATAAGATTAGTCAAAGTACAAAGTAGAGAACCCAAACCTTGTTAGCCTTGGACTTCTCAAGATAGTCATCGATAACTCCAGCGTTGGCGGAGGAGGTGGCGGTGGCGGTGGCGAACAGTGCGGCTCCGAGACAAAGTAGAGCTGCCCTTCTCCCCTGCTGTGACTGATCACTGGATTCAGACGATGATTTCACCGTCTGCTTGGCCCGGATGACCGGAAACTTGTAACCGACGGCAGCAGGCGTGGCGGAGGAGGGCTTTGAGTTGAAGTCCGGCGAAGCAACACCACCGGAGACAGCATAGTTGCAGGCCAATACACTGGAGTTCATGGTGGCCATTTTTTAGTGATGGTTTAAATGAAGTGAGAAGCTTATGGGAATGATTTTGATGTGTTTGATGGAATTTTATATAACAAGAATCAAAATTAGAAGATAAATAAATTTGAAGAAATTTGTGGGTGTGAATTGATGGATATGAAGATGGTTTGTGGTGGGAGTGTGGATAAGGTGAGATTGCTTCATTCCTATTGGCACATTTTGCTTTCTTGATGATATGCAATATTTCTCCCTTTTTTTGTTTTTCTTTTTCTTTTCAAATTATGAGAAACAGAAATTTAAAAAGTAATAAAATGATAATTAAATTTGAAGGTGATTTAGTTGGATATTGTAAAGGGTAAAAATGTATATCCTTAAAGGGTTTATTTGTTAATTAACCAATTTAAATATAGACTTTCATTTAAGCATTGATAGCTTGAAGAAACATATCTATGAATGTTATGACTGAATAATAGATATTCTGTAAAATTTGTGTAGTGTAGAAAGATAAAGCAACAAATGCTTCAAAATAAGCTTAAATTGATAAAATAGTGTGGACTACATAAATTTATCAGACTCGATTGTGAGCAAGAAAATTTTAAGGGGGCATATATCATTCTTTTTCAATATCAGAAATCTCCGAATGAGAAATCGATAGATTATGAGTTGTGTGGCCCACGTTTTATTGAAACAACTATCTTTTAAGAGATAACTGAGTAGTTGGTAGGGTATCAAACAAGAGTTGCCTTGGTCTTTGTCTTTTTCAATATTTGTCTCCAAAAAATTGAGAACTAATAGATTGTGTGGTTGTGCGGATTATAATATCTAGATCAGGATTTTTTCTATTCTTTTAATCCTGTACACAACTCTCATTCAGTTCTTTTAAGCTCGCAACTACTACCCCCCTCTCTTTTTCATTTTAAGTTCAGCATACATACTCATTTTCCGTTTTAGCTCACCTTTTAGTGTGATTGTCTTCTTGGGTAGGGCTATCGGTTTTGATAGTCCATAGAGGTTATATCGGAATAAGCATTCAGTCCCATCTACGATATTACATGTAAGAACAATGAATTTTGATGTATACAAATAAGCTCGTAAACTTTAATATGATCTCATGAGTTGAAAATAAAAGATTTATTTCAGATAAGCACATGATGTCGAAGAAATGATTCAAAGCATAAATATTCAGGAAAGAAATGATCAGATATATGTAAGAAGAATTTACAGATTTGAATTGCAAAGAATATTGAAATATTTGTCAATAAAGAGTCGGTTTACTACAGATTTGAAAACAAATTTGAATTCAAACGAGCATATTATCATTGAAAAATGAATTTTGCATTTTTGAGACATGATAAAGGTATGTGCCTATCACTGAGAAGCTTGAAACTCCAGGGTGGGACAGAACTAGAATAAGAGAACCTTATCTTGAAGACATGTACGCCAACATATTTATCCGTCATATGAAAGCATTAAGTGTTGATAAAGTCTTAGGTATTCGTAACGAAACCATTGAATATCATAAAGAGTATAAGTACTTCCTTAAATCCAAACGCCAACCCATTCACTTTGTGCGAACAAAGCACCGAATTGTCTCGATAAAGAACGTGGAAGCCAAAATACTTGTAAGAGTTTGGCATCCAGTTTTCTATGTCACAAGGCAAAATGGTAGAGAATGGTACTTTAGTGAAGCTGATTTTCTGAATTGGTACTTAGAAGACCTGGAGTTTATGTATCATAATTTTCGAAACCAGACTGTCAGATTGAAAGGAATCGACATAGGAGTAGAAGCTATCAAAAGGTTTCTCAAGTGTCAGAGCAAATTGTCTTATGTTATAGATGTTCATATGGATTATGAAAGCAATCAAAAGCATGTGATTCTAAAAAGGCCAAATCAAGACTTAGAAGACGTTGATGGTTATCTTTTATACATGATTCTTGAATATCCGGAGTTAGGTGTGATATATAAAAACTCTGAATGTGCCAAAAAGTTTCTGAGTTTCAGTGAACTAAAAAAGTACAGTGATGGAACGATCAAAATTATCAGGAAACAGCTCGAATTAAAGAAAGCTCAAGACGACAAAGCGTTGAGGTCCAACAGGTTGAATTTAAGAGAAATGTTCTTACTTCTTAAAGCTCTGGAGTTGTTTGATGAGAATATTGAGTACATGAATGCTATAAAAAGATTTGAGATGCATTTGGGTTTTAGAAATTCAAGATTTCCAATTTCTAGAGCTTGAATCCAAAAGAGGAGAATGTTGGGTTCAATGCTTTGTGGTTTAATGTTGTATTCAAGCTTTGAATTCTCTTTGTATAAATAGTTTAGTTCATTTGTAAGTTGTGTAAGAACGCTTGTGAGCACTTCATTTTTGTAATTCTCAATTGTAATCTTTGAAGAATTATACACAATGAAGAATTCTCTCTCTACTATTCTTAGAAACTGCCATTGTTAACCATCATTGATCTTGATTGCATTCTTGATTTGTAATGGATTGATTAATTCCTGGAACATCATATATGCAACTGTTTTCAACTGCTGTTAATTTCTTAACCAACTAAACTACCAGCCTTATTTATACCAGGCAATACAAAGAACAAACTAACTACAAAGCATATTAAAACACAATAAGCTCGAGGACTTGAATACAATATTTTAGACTCAACAATCTCCCCTTTTGGATTCAAGTTGAAAACCATCAAATTCTTCAGATCTTTAAAACTTCAGCTTTAGCAGCAACGATCTTCAGAATTTATTCAGAAATATTCAACAAACTTTGACAGATTTTATCTTTCAAAGCTTTAGCAATCTCCCCTTTGAAAACTTTTTCTATACTTGACTTTCTGACAATCTTCAAAACTTCTTCAGAACTTTAACAATCTCCCCCATTCTTTCATAATCTCCTTTAAAGCACAATTTTGAACAATCTCCCTCAAATAGTAATCATTTTCAACTATTGACAAGCTCCCCCTAAACTTGATAATATCTTCTTTTCAGCTTTTAAGCAATCTTTTCCTTTGTAACAAACAAATTATCTTCTCCTACTTTCAAACAATCTCCCCTTGAACATTGTAGAAAACATGTAATCTTTCTTTGTAATGATCTTCAATTTTCTTTCAAACTCCCTCTTTGAAACGAATTAGAAAAAATCTTTACACTTACTCTCTTTCAACAGTATCTCCCCCTTAGTCACAGCTAGAGAACAATCTTCAACATTAGTTTTCAGAGATTTTTCTTTACTCCCCCTAGAATTAACACTTTTCATTCGTTTTGTATCTATTCCCCTTATCTTCAGAAAAGACTCATTCATTTGATCACTACTCCCCCTTATGATGTAAATGTGGAGCGTAAACATCATACCATGAAATGAATTACACAAGAAAATATATCGTCAATTCATAGAGTATTTAAGCTAATCTTTTCAAATTCACATATTTGATCTTTTCAGATTATGAGTTTGGGGAAAAACCAGATTCAACTTATGAATCCATTTTCAATCTTTTATAAAAAGATTGGCCTGTGAATACAACAAATATATTCAGTACAACGAATGTACTTTATATATGAGACTTTTTAACATTCATCTCACTAGGACTTTCATTCAATCATTGATATCTTGAAAAGCCATATCTATGAATGTTGAGATAGAATAACATATATTCTATAAAATTTGTACAGTGTAGAAAAGATAAAGCAACAAATGCTTTCAAATAAGCTCAATAAGATAAATAGTGTGGACTACACAAATTTATCAGACTCGATTTGTGATCAAAAAGAGTTGAAGGGGGGGACATATATCCTTCTTTATCAATATCAGTCATCTCCAAATGAGAAACCGATAGATTATGAACTACATGTCCCAAGTGTTAATGGAACATGTATCTTTTGAGAGATAAATAAGTAGTTGGTGGGGTTTTAAACAAGAGTTGGTCTAGGCTTTGCCTTTTTCAATAGTAGTCTCGAAAGAATTAAGAACTAATAGATTGTGTGGTTGCCCGGATTATAATTGATGGATCAGGATTCTGATATTCTTTTAATCCTATACACAACTCTGATATAATTATTTTAAGCTCACAGCAACTACCCCTCTTTTTTACACTTTTAGCTCAACACACATACCCATTTTTAGTTAAGCTCACTCAGTATGGTTGTCCTCTTGGGTAGCGTTATCGGTTTTAATAGTCCATAAAGATTTAGCTGATAAGCACCCAGTCCCATCTAAGAATTTTTGCATTGTAAGATCAATGGAAATATATACATTTAAGCTCATAAATCTTGATCACAAGAGTTAGATCATAAATATATTGCAGTTAAGCACACGGTGAATATTCAAAGAATTATTCAAAGATGAAATTATATGGAGAGAAATAAACGAAGATATGTAAGAACAAATTACAGATATAGCAATCAAAGAATTATGAAGTATTTGACAATGAAGAATTATGTTCAATATTTTCGGAAGACAAATTTGATTACAAACGAGTGTATTATCACTGAAAATGAACTTATGTAATTTAGAGACGTGATAATAATATATTGAAAAATAGATGAATCATGTAATGGAATTATATATGAAGAGAAAATACTCAAGTATTGACTTAATGAAATACCTTATCAGAGATATTACTCGTTACAAACAAAAATAAAATGAAAATCGTTTAAAATCACACTACTAAGAATAATAAAATCATTTTGAGTTCAAAGAAGTGGTTTGAATATTTAAGAGAACATTTTAATATACCAAGAAGTTGTCCTTCTTCTAAGCATATTGAGATTTAAAGTATAGTATATACCTGAGATTCAGATCATAATGAAACTTAGATCATGATGCTCCCCTTTGAATTTAGCTCACACAAACAGATCAACATTTTAGAGACTTCCCCTTGACATGTACAAATGAAAAATCTTTTTTCTTGTGTACAATGTGGAGGATGAACATCAGTATGATTATTCTGATTGTCATACTCATCGTTAAGAGCTTGTATTTTTTTCCTATTATTATTATAGCTTGAGTCTTGAATTGTCTTGTTTAGAAGTCATAACAATGAAGAATAGGTTCTATACTAAAAATGTTTAGAATCTAAACCATTGAAGTTCGAGTTCTAGA